GTGATTTATTTAATTTATATTCGCTCCCCTATTGCTATTTTCAGTGAGCGTGCCAATGCAACTGGGGCAACAGGTCAGCGCTTGAAAGAGGGCGCCCACATCAACAAATCGCTGGTGACTCTGGGTAGCGTGATCTCGGCTCTGGCGGAGCAGACGGGTGGCGGCCACAACAGCAGCAGTTCCGCACTGGCCACCACCCCAAACGGGGCCAGCAAACGGGTGCTCTACATCCCGTACCGCGACTCCATCCTCACCTGGCTGCTGAAGGACAGTTTGGGCGGCAACAGCAAGACCATTATGATTGCTGCCCTTTCTCCGGCCGACTGCAACTACAGCGAGACGTTAAGCACACTGCGGTACGCAAATCGGGCCAAGAACATCATCAACAAGCCGACTGTAAACGAGGATACCAATGTCAAGCTGATCCGCGAGCTCAGGGAGGAGATCAGCAAGCTTAAGTCCATGCTATCTGGGGATATAGTAAGCAGTAGTCATTATAATATTGTCTGAACTTAGAAATTACAACTGGCTTATCTTTCAGCAATCCCTGCAACCCTCATTGAAGGTATTGGCCGATCTCCAAAAGAAGGAGGCGCAGGAGAAAGTACTCACCGAGGAATGGACGGAGAAGTGGAAGGTGGCCCAGTCCATTCTGCAGGAGCAAAAGAGTCTTGGTCTGCGCAAGTCGGGCGTGGGCGTGGTCCTTGACTCAGAGATGCCGCATCTGATTGGCATCCACAACGACGTGACCACCGGAGTGACGCTGTACAGTCTGAAGGAGGGCGAGACGCGAATCGGCAGCGAGGATGCGGATGTGGCACAGGATATCGAGTTGGCCGGCGATGGCATTAGAGCACAGCACTGCAGCATCTTTTTGAAGGGCGGTGTAGTAACGCTGCATCCCTGGCCGTTGGCCCAATGCTGGGTAAACGCCCACCTAATTGACGAACCCAAGCAGATCTCGCAGGGCGATATCATATTGCTGGGGAGAACGAACATCTTTCGCTTCAACAATCCCGCCGAGGCAGCAAAGCTTAGAAAGGATTTGAGTCGCTCTCAACTGGACATGTCGCGGCTGTCACTGATTACCTCGTCGAAGGAGAATCTGCTGGCTTGCAGCATATACTCGGACGAGGATGGAGCTTCCCCTTACAAACGACCAGAGCGGCAGTATTATCCCCAGCGTCCCATGTCGCGAGACGATCCCGAAATTCAAGACGAAAACAGGAAAATACTCGATACCATTGAAAACGCACTGAAGCAGCTCAATGTGGTTAGTAATTACAACTATTTTCCTTATTTATAAAAGTAATAATTGTAATTTTGCATGTTTAGGAGCGCGTTCAGATGCACGATCAATACAAGACCAAAGTGCGTAAGCTGACCGAAGAGCTTATTCGTTTGGAACAGGAGGAAATGGACGGGCTGCAGGTGTTAAATTGTCGGGAGCAGGAGCTTATTGCTCGCAAGGACATGCTGCTGTGGGAGAAGAACAACGAGAAGGTCCAGGTGCGTGCATCCGATCCGATCTGTTTTATTGCATGTCACCATTAATTATTTCTCAAATTGATGGATGGATCATTGTGCTTGTTATTTTGCCTGTTCATCTTTATTGTTTTCCTTGTTTTGGCTTTATGTTCCTTACGATTTTCTGTTCGTTCCATTTTCGTTTTAGATCGACATTGTGTGTAGACAAATTTCAGCGTTTCAGACGCAGCTCGACTCTAAGAAACGAGATTTCTCTGAGTATGTAGCGAAAGAATTGCAGGAACTGCAAGATTGTGGCAAACTGGACGAGGTTTGTTCGTTTGTTTAGAAATTCTTTGCTTAGATCTTAGATTAGATGATAATATGGGTTAGCTAAATTCGATATTTAACAAATGTATTTTTACATTCGCAGATGGGAATGAAGATCGAAGAGGGCACTCCTCTGAACGATGAACTGCTACTGCAGGTATCGGATTCCCTGGACTTGTTTGCAGCGCAGTTTATCAAGGAAACTGTGCGAAGAAATGTAAGTACAACAAAATAAATAGCTCCACAAACATAGTATTTACTTGTTAACATTTTGTAGAACGAGGAAATCCGCAAACTGGACGAGCAAATAGCCGAAAAGGAGAGAATACTCAATGCCAGCACTACGAAAATAGCGAAGGTCGATGAGACCATGCTGGAGATCCAGGCCCAGCTGGAGCGTCTGCGTCTGGAACGCGCCGAAAGCGAGGCCGAGTCTCAGGCGATGCGCGCCAAGAAGCAGAGCATGAAGCTGCAGTTGGGCAACAAGTCCATGTCCACCTCGACCAGCACAAACGAGGCTGACGATGTGTCCAAGTCGGACACGTACGAAACCTGTGATACCTTCCACACCGCCCAGTCCAACTTATCGCTCGTCTCATCGCCGACGATCACGGAAGGTCAGCAGTCGCCGCTCAGCAATTGCTCCTGCGATGCGGAGGACGAGGCGGAGGACACACGCAAGGATGACCTCTCGGGCAGCAGCGAGGAGACCTCGAGGACCTGCACCGCTGGTCCGAGCAGTGGAAGTGGAAGTGGCAGCGCTGGCATCGGTGGATCTGGCTCTGCGCCGAGTGCCACTCCCAGTTCACAGGCCATCATGAGCGATAGCGGTGTTTGCCTGGACAGCCGTAATCAGGCTCTCCCCCAGAACGGACACCTTAACAACTACAAGCAAGGTGTGCGAACCAGCGACGAGGACACCGGTTCCTGTTCCTCCTGCGAACTGGGACGGCATTCGGATTCAGCCCGACCCTATTGTCCGCTGCATTCGCTCCGACGCAAGATTGCCGCACAGAAGGCATTGATCATGAAGAACCTCGAAACAGACTTGAACAAAACCCAGTTGGACGAGCACATTGCCGACCTGCAGGATCTGCAGCGACGGTACATTCAAATGGAGCAGGAGATGCTGCAATCGGTGCAGGATTTGGAAGCTCATGCTCTATGCTGTGCCGACGAGCGGTCCGGAATGGAGCGACAATACGAACTGGCCAGCTCCATCATGCGCTCCAGTGTGATGAGTCCCACCAGCATGGAGGAGTCCACTTCGCAGATCTATTCGCCAAGCATGACAAGATCCTGCCCATCGATGCGAGAGTTTCGTAAGTATTGATTAAGAAAACAGTGGGAATTTTAAACTCTTGCTTAGAATCAAGATTTGCTTTGAAATGTTGCGTATTTTTTCGAGTAAATTAACAATTTTAATTAAATAGTTCAAAAGGCAAGAGTATTTACCTTTCCGTCAGTATATTCACCTTCCTGTTTGTAACTAGTTTCCCAACTTTCTTCAGCCGAGGGCGAGCACTTCATTACCATCCCGAGTTTTGTGATGCGGGGCGCCGGCAAGCAAACGCACTACGAATACGAGGTACGCATCGCTCTCCCCGATGGCAAGCTGAACATTCTGCGGCGATACAGCCGCTTCAGGGAGCTGCACCTGTGCATGAAGCACTGCTACGGAGCCAAGGTGAGTTCCCTGGTGAAGAACAAGTTTCTCAGTTGATGAGCTAATTAATTTACTTAACTCCCAGATCTCTGCACTTCCCTTTCCGCGACGAGAGCTCTTCGCCTCGAACAGCGAACCGGTGGCCAAGCATCGTCGCCGTCTGCTGGAACTGTATTTGCGTCGCCTGTTCGTCGTGTGCTCCAAGATTCCACAGTGTCCCATCTACGAGGGTCCCGGGGGACCGGGCCTCACGCGTGCCTCCCTCGTCCAGCTGTCGTCTTTTTTCAAGAAGGGCCTGTTCGAGAACGGCAAGCACGGGACGGGATAATAGTTAACCTACTGCTGAATTATCTCCTGCCTACAGTGTGTCTTTTTATTTACTTGTACTACCTGTTAAGCTACATGAACGACAACATGGACCTGTTTTGATTAGCTAGCGCGAACTACTGTGCAGATTAATTAGCTGTAAGCCCCTTAGCCATGTAAGATGACCACCAGTGTCCTTTCTCACTCCCGAGCATATATGCGACGTTTTTATACCCATTGTTATCAACTGAATCGGAGCTTTATATTGAAATCACTGTAAATGTAACTGCCAGTGGCGACGTTGCAATCCACTTATTTGTACTGTAACCCAGTTCAAGTAGGTATTCTACATATTAGGATCAGGTTGCAGGTTTGTTTAGACGGTTTGTTGCTGTTTGCGGCCAGTTTTAATTAGTTAATTATTTCTCTTTACTAGTTAAATATACGCATAGGTGTACGACTTCCAAAAGTTATTCCAGTTATTTAGTCTGTGATTACTAACTGAAGTTATAGAGCAGAATCCAACAAATGAACGTAACTGAACATTTCACGAGCGAGTAATCCAACCGACAACTCCGCAGTTTACAATCTCTTAGGCTTAAGCTAATTGTACAAATCAAACACTGATGGGCCTAGGTGGGCAGATGTTTAGCAGTAGGTATTAGGTTCATTAGCCAATAAGATGTAGGTTTAAGTCGATGCGTCGCAATTATAGTAAACTAATTATGAGTACAATTTCCGAAAATGAAACAACATGAAATGTTCAATGTAAAAAGCATAGACTAAGTTTACTCGTAGCGTTTATGAAGGGTGAAATTGGTCGATCCTCGGATCGATGGCAATAAGTGAAACAATAATAGCCTAGATTTAGTGAAACCTTATGGCTCCGCCCACTCAAATGTAAGTCCCCCAGGGACTGGCTAATATCGATTTGACAACAGAGTGGTTGCTGTCTTACAAAAAAAATAAATACGTAAACATATTCAAAACAAAGTTTTTTATAATTCTTTTTTATTTTAGCAAGAATAACAAACAGTGAACTAATATTGAAGCCACGACTGTGAGGTGGGGATTTTACATAAAGTATATTACATGTAAGTGACTTCCCTTGATTGTTTATTGTTTTGTCGCTAGGTGTCGCTTTAACAATTAGTAACTTTATAAAGAAAACAATTCTTTTTTAAAAACTGAGAAGCGATTTTAAAATATTATTCAAATTAAGTCAGCTTTCTTAAGTTTCACTAATGTTTATATTTTGCTTGTATTTTAATTGGGCAAACGTTTGAATCTTAAATTGTACGACAATTATAATGTAGCCGAATACGGTGATCACCATCTAAAAACAAAGTTTAATGGTAAAATGTTGTAATAAATTATATATTTGTTTTTACCCCTCCAAAGTATTTGAGATTTATGTCGAAGAATCCAGAGCAAGTGAAGAGAAGTTTTAGGTGCTGCATTTGTAAGGAGTATTCCCGTAGGCCCATTTTTAGCGCTGAAAAATCTTCAGCTGCTGGCAAACAATTAATTTGGTTGAGAATGCGAGGTATGCTATTGTACTATAAGGAATAATTAATATGATCTGTTTGTATCACATATATTTCATAAAACTTACTGCTTTAATGCATAATTCACTGTAGAAGCAGGCGAAAAGAATATTCATCGCTAGTAAAATAGTAAATCCCAATCGCACTAGAATAAAAAAAAGAAGGTTATTGCCCATTTTACAGAATAACTTACTATATTGACAGCAATCGTTCGGATCGACGGTTTTTATGAGAGCCCAGTTGACCACGTGCAAGATGGTAAGTCCGTTGTAGAGAGACAGAAGCATCATGGACAGTGTGAAATATGTGCCAATCTCACCCACAAGATTCCAAATCCTTGCCACCACCAGTTGGTTCCTTTTCAGAGCGACACACAGCTCTTGAATTCTGCCTCTGCAATTGCAATTCTCAAATTCAGCCTGGATTTGCTGAAGGATGTGACTCATTCGAAGAACAAGCTCATAAATCACCAACACAAACACGCAATACTCGGTTCCTTTGAGTTGTATCATTACGAGGACGATCTCGGTGAACACCTTATTAATCCAGTGGAGATAGGGTCCAAGACCCACAAGGGAAAATCGTGGAATGCCGCCCACTATAAACACCACCCAGAGACCCACTGACAAAGCCAATCGGAATCTGAAGCTTAGCCAGTGTCTTTGTCCACAAAAATCCCTTGATGCATTATTTGTTTCATGTTCCAGATCCGCAATTTCCGTATAAATTAATTTCAACCGGCGAAAGTTCAGCAGCATGTTGAATTGATTGCAAATAGCCATGGCAACTACGAGAACCTTTTGCGTACTTCCCATGACTTTAGTAAAATCTTCCGTGTGGAAGTCATGAACTTCCTTTAGCAAGGCCACAATATTCGCGTAGCACTCGTAGATAACCATCAAAAGGATTGCAAATGAAAAGCAACCGTATCCTGCAATTAAGATGCCTCTGCGCCGCTTGTGCAATGTTCTAGTGAAAAATACAGGCGGAGGAGTGATCCCGAATGCGGAAAAAATCTGCATATAAGGACGGGCTGTGTTCAGCAGTCGACTGTGTTTGACTTCCATGCTCTGCGAGGTGTTAAAAGCTACTGAACATTTCAATAAACTTGCTTTTAAATGACTAAGCAACCACTTTGCAATAATTGTTTTGATAAGATGATCAGAAGGATAATTTGAAAGTACTATTGCAAAGAGAGTAATTTAATTAAAATACTACCATTTCATAAAACTTCAAATATTATTCTATAATTTCGCTAAGATTTTGGCTATATTTTAAGTCAGCAAAGACCTGAATCTTGAATTGCACCAAGATAATCATGTATCCGAATATGGTGACCACCATCTTAAACAGAGTAATTTAGTATTAGGTTATAAGAGATACGTATATGGCTTCTCTTACTCCTCCAAAACATTTGAGATTGATGTCGAATAGTTCGCATGTGAAAATAAGTTTTAAGTGTTCCATTTGCAAGCAGTATTCCCTCAGACCCATTTTAAGGATTGAAAATTCTTGAGATGCAGACAAGCATCCAATTTCCTGAAGAATGTGATTGATGCTGTTGTACTAAAGGTACATAAAAATAAATGATTTACAGATTTGTCAATAGATTATACAGACTCACCGCTCTAACGCAGCGTTCACTATAAAAGCAGGCGAGAAAAATATTTGTCGAAAGTAAAAGACTGGCTCCAATTCGCCCTTAACGATATATAAACGTGGTTACACATTAAAAATTCATTTTTAAAGAGACTTACCGTATTGACAGCAATCTTTGGGATTGATAGATTTTATGATGGACCAGTTGACGAAGTGCAAGATGGTCAGTCCGTTGTAGAGAAACAGAAGCGTCATGGACAGGGTGAAATATATGCCAATCTCACCTACTAATTTCCATATCCGACCTACAAGCAGCTGATTCTGCTTCAAAGTGACACACAACTCTTGAATCCTAGTATTGCAGTTGCAAGCCTTAACTTCAGAAAGAATCTGCAAAAGGATATGACGAACTCGAAGAATCATTTCGTAGATCAAAAAAACAAATATGCAATATTCCAGGGACTTGAGTTGAAGCATCAACAGGATGATCTCGGTTAAGAACCTATTTGTACTGGTAAGAAAGGGTGCCAATCCCACCACTATTAAACGTGGTGCAAGGTCGACCAGGAGCACCATCCATAATCCTATGCAGATGGCCAAACGATAACGGAAGCTCAACCACTTTCGCTTTTCAGTAAAACCTGCCGAAACTTCTTCTATATCCAGTTCCAGATCCGCAATGTCCTCGTATATGATTTTAAGTCGGCGAAAGTTGAGGAGCATATTCAGTTGGTTTCCCATAGCCATGACTACAACGAGAATCTTCTGGATTTTGCCCATTACTTTGCTAAAATCCTCCGCGTGAAACTGTTTAATGTGCAACTGAAGGGCGCCAATGTTGGCATAGCACTCATAAATGACTATCAGAATAATGACGAATGAAAAACAGGCATATCCAGTTATTAGGTAACACTTTAGTTTAGAACTTAAGGTCCGGTCGAAAATTAAGGGAGGTGGTGTCAACCCAAACACGGAAAGAACTTGAAGGTATGGACGAGCCGAGGTCAGCAGACGACTTCGATTAACTTCCATTTCCGACAAGGTGTAAAAATGCACTAAACGCTGAGAAAATAAGTATCCTAGCGTTGAGAACCTTTTATTTAATTGGATAGATAAGATAATCAGCATGTAATTAGCAATGTGTTACTAAAAGGTTGTTTTAGCTTGTATTTCACGTTTACATTTTTTTTTCTTTAAGCAGCAAAACAAAAGTGCTCAATTTTGAATTTGTGATACACTTATATTTCGGGCCGACTTATAATTTGTCTCTGCTATTCCCTGGACTTTAAATTGCAGTAGAATTATGATATATCCCATTATGGTAACTAGCATCTGCAAAAACATATTAATCAGCAGTTAATTTATGAGTAATAAATGCAGTATTACCCCTCCAAAGCATTTTAAATTAATGTCAAAGAATGCGCCGCATGTGAAAAGTAGTTTCAGGTGTTGCAACTGCAAAGAGTATTCCCGAAGTCCCCTGGTTAGTAAGGGAAAATCCGAAGATGAAGACAAACAACGAATCTGATGCAGGATGCGCGGAAAGCTATTGTACTGGTTAAATACATAAACAATATAATGGTAAGCATTTTAGAGAAAAAGTAACTCACTGAATTTATGCATCGCTGACTCAAAAGGCAGACAAACAGAATGTTTAATATCAGCAAAAGGACAGTGCCAAATCGGTCTGAAAAATTATTTGATTTCTAATAAGTATATTTCCATACTTTACTTATTTATACCCACCATAACGACAGCAATCGTTTTGAAGGAATGTGTTGATGTAAGCCCAGTTGACCACGTGCAGAATGGTCAGACCATTGTAGACGAATAGTATCATCATGGGTAGGGTAAAATAGCTGCACATCTCCCCCTGAAGTTTCCAAACGCGGCCCAGAAGCAATTGATTGCGTTTCAGGGCCACACAGAGAGCTTGGAGCATATCCTTCTGGTTGCAGTCCTCCAATTCTTCCTGCAATTGAAGAAGAGTGCGGCGCAGGTGCAGGATCAACTCGTGGATCAGAAGGACGAATACGCAATACTCCATGGCCTTAAGCTGCAGCATTACTATTACGAACTCGGTGATAATTTTATTGGGCCAGCTGACGTAGTGACCCATGGCCGAGTAGGTAAAGCGAGGCATTAAAAACACCATCAGAACTAGCCACACTCCGACAGTAATTAGCAACCGGAAACGGAAGCTATATCGTTGATATTGTCCACCGTAACACTGCGAGGCCTTCTCTATATCCTTCTCCAGATCTGCAACATCTTCGTAAATTCGGCCAATTCGATGATAGTTAAAAAGCATATTTATTTGGTTGGCCAAGGCCGTGACTGAAATCAAGCCTTTTTGAAAGCTTCCCATAACTCTGGTAAAATCTGCCACATTGTAGTCCAAAACTTCCTCGTTTATAGCCATTATATTTATGTAGGTCACGGTAAACACTAATGCAAGCATCGCAGCTGCATAGCAGAAGTATCCTGCCATTAAGTACCATCTCAATCGATTGTACGAGGTTTTACCAAAACTTTGGGGTGGTGGTGTTAATGCAAATATGGAAAAGATTTGGAGATACGGAAAAGCTGCTGTCAGCAAGCGACTCTTTTTAGCCACCATTTTAGCCGAGTTCTAAGAACCTACTAATTAAGGGTTAACCCAGCCGACTGCTAGTATATCATATATCAAAATTGAAAAGTAATGGACTAAAAGTATACCCTTTCCAAAGCTTTTTTTAATAAGTTTAAAAAATTTTTAGTTTATAGTAATATAGTTCATAGTAGTATTAAATTGCAAATTTAATAATAGAAAATGTGCAACAATTACCGAAATTATCAGAAATTTTATGTTTCCAACTGGATTTATACAACATGTGTACCTTACCCGTCCACTGGCTCTTCGCTTACCTAATTATTCAATATACCAAGGCAAGCACATTTCACTAATTAGCCAGATATGATGGGTTATGAGCCATTGGGAGAGATTGCTGTTAGTGGGTCCTGTGCTCCCCTGGAAGATTTCTATCTCGTTGCCTGGCCAATTTCCACGTCATAACGCTGGTAATTTCCATTTTCCGTTCCATGCAAATGTGGGTTAAATTGTTTTTGTCTTGGCCAGCAATCAGCATTGTCTTTTGACGACTGCATGTGCATCCACACATCGCCATCTCCCCATCTGTCGCTTTCAATTGCTCCACTTTCTTGCTTCATTTTCCATTTTGTGCACATAATTGCACTTCTTGTGAGCCAAAGTGGGCAAACATCCAACGTCACCAGCCAGCCCACCCACTTCCCCTTCGCAAGCTGCTGCTTCGGCACAAGCTAAATCAAACGAAAACACCCTCGTAACACCCTAACCACCCATCACCCCAACCACCCAACCATCCAACCACCCGATCCCGTTCAATCCCCGACCGCCTGCTAATCCCGTGCAGGAATTTCCCCAGGATCCCCGGGATCCGGGGATCCACATTCACATGCACATGCATACCCCAGGATTCGGATGGGGACGAGGGGTAGTCGACGCGACGGCAAGACATTGACGGGATTAAGTGTCCTTTTTAATTTTAAACTACTTCACTTCACTTTGCACAGTCAATGAGTGCGCTGCACCTACTCCACATCCACATCCTGATCCTTCATCGCCCATCGCTCGGTTCGGCTTCCCTCCTTCTTCAATTTTTTTTTTTTTTTTGGTTTTTGTTACTTTGGCCATGTATGTTTCTCTTTCGAGTCCTTTTCTTTTAAGCTTGATTAAGCACTTTGTGTAACTCTATGACATGGACATGCATTTGCATGCTGGACGCCGTGCCAATGGCATTTTTAATTTGCCATAGCAACATATCCTGATCCTGCCCCACTTTGCAACAGTGATGTCGGTTTGCTAAATCAAATAATAATTATAAAAACAGTCGTGAAATTATTAAAGCTTATATTTTAGGCAGAAGAATCAGGCTGAATGATTTTGCACAGCAAATTTCGTTTTTAAATTTTAAATAACAAATTAAAAGCAGCTTTCTGGTGACAGATATTTATCGAAATTTGTGCCCAATAAGTTAGATAGAAAAAAATATATTGCAAGCAAAAATCGTTTGATACTTCTGTGGCGTTTCTAATATTTTGATTTTTCCGGGAAAAACAAATCCCCCTATCTGTCCGGAAAAAGACCAAATTGCCATTGGTATCGGACTTTCAGCTTCGAGAGCGGCAAATTGCATGCATTAGCATTGGCACTGAGCGAGGATGAGGCGATGAAGTGGGTTTGGTATGGGGTCCTTGAAAGGTTTTGGGGCTGGGGAGGGGCAGGGCTCTCATTTATTATGCAGTGCAGCGAGGTAACAATGACTTTGGATTATTGTTTCCTCCCTGCCGCAACAAACAATTGAAATACAATAAAATTAAATAATTTTTAACAAGCCACAGGAAAACGGAAGTGCTCGTCCATACTCACACAGACCGCCGATTTACATGGCCTTAATAGCCAATCTCTGGCATTGGCGCACAGATAGTCCGTATATAAACCGCTTTTTTCCCCCAGCATTTTATCATTCTTATTATAAATATATTGTATATTGTTTAAATTGCATTTAACTTTTGAAAAAAACAAAAAAATAAAAAAGAGGATATATATTGATATATTTTATTCGCAAAGGTAAATAAATCCACATAAAGGCAATGTGTAAGTTGCACGTTGGCTGTGTGCGAGTGTCTGCGAGCAATAAACAAATACAATTTTATTATTTATTATTTATGTATTCATGGCCATTAAACGGATATCCGTGGCCATGGCGCATTAAATTGCGCTGCCAGCCACATGCATTCAGACCGGGGAGCTCACCAACTACTTCACCCCTTACCTTTTCGTGACTTACAAGGACCCCGCTCTGTTCAATCCGTAAAGCGGATCACTTACCGTTGTTATGGAGTCAGCTTTAATGCACTTTTAGCTCGTATCCTTAGAGATATAAAGCCAAAAAGGAGATTCCTTACTTAATCATAAAAGGTACGTTAGAAGGTGAAACAAAAGTGCAACATAAACCAGAAGCTTAAATATATGTACTTGTAGACACAAATTACTAACAAAATTGTTATTATTAGAAGACAATACATTTTCTGCAGCTTAATTTAAGACGAGCAATTTATATTGAATTGCTTCGCAACTTGATGAAGTCCTCCTAATTAATATTTAACTGCAACTTAATACCTACTGAACCACGTGATAAGCTTCCGTTGCGCAATAAGTATTTCGTTATCTGGGGGAAATCGCTTGCCAGGATGCGAAACAAATTTAAGGAAGTATCAATTGTTGGGGATAAGGCAGCGTTTGCTGGTGCCTCGAAAGGGAGCTTCTCTTCCTTTATTCTCGGCTTGTGGTTGGCGGTTTTAGTTGACTTGGCACTGAAAGTCTCTCCTCTGCTATCAATATGTAATCAATGCTTTCAAATAACTTTGCCATTCGCAGCGAGGCTTTTGTTTCGTGCAAATCAGGAGACGGAGCACCGACATTCGGAGCTGGGTAATGGCATCACCTAAGCCAGCCATCCAAACGAAACAATGCGAGCTTGGGAGAGGAGTCCACTGAAGTAGGGAGTTCGGAGCAGGGACTCCAAGGTGGCGTGTGTCGCCTGCCTGGGGCCCACAAAAGGGATTTCAATAATACGCGCACAATCTGTGCTGAAAGCTTAAACAATAAAAGTGAAAATTCCACCAGAGCCTTTAGATACAGGGATAAGCATGTTATTGGGATGTGAGATCCTTACACATAGAAATATAGAAGTTCCAGGCAACTTAAAGTCAAGATATTGCTGCAGAAATGGTTTTCTTTTAAATGTTTTTATTGGTTTTCATTAAAAATTCATTATGGTGTTATAAAATGATTTAATCGTTATTTTATTATATTACAGTCATTTTGTTAGAAATATGTATATGAAGATATTTCCTATGAAAATGTTTGTTCCCAAGGGATTTTTTAAGGTATAAAGACTTATTTTTTTTCTCTGTGTTATGGAAATACTCCAAACGAATTCACTAGTCTCACGAACATGTATCCTCATGTATCATCTCTAGAAGAACTTTAAGTTGCGGTTGAAGGAGACAGGACAAAGCGACACGTGTAGCTGGGTTTCAGGGTATCCGAGTATCCAAGTATCTGAGTATCCGTGCAATCGAGTTTCCGGAGTGTCTTGCATGTTGCCAGCCAGACAATGCAGATTAGCCCCGGATCGGGGGACCCAACACTCGAGACCTTCGTGAGAGACAAAGGCACTCGGCTGGGATTTTAATGAATAACAACATGAAGAAGTGGAGGACTGGGTCGCCTGAGTAGTAGAAGGCACCCAAATCCATAGCCATATCCATATCCACAGCCACATCGACATCCACATCAATTACATTGCGGTTGGCTGCCATTGCCAGGGACAAGGACTCTCTCAATCGAGTGCCAGGAGCACGTTCGCATATGAATATGAAATGCAGAAGCACATGGCTGCGACCATATCGATGAAAATCAATTCCACTGTCATTTGGGAATCTCTCAATTGGTCGGGGCAGCTGAGAAAGTTCTGTGTTTGTGGCACCGAATTGTCAATATCGGCTCAAGTTGATTTTGCTCCATTATCTGTGCAATTTGGAAGCTCGACTTTCAAGTCGGCTGCAACTGTCGGCTTCGCTACCCGGCAAAACGGCTACCCGGCTACCTTTTTGACCTCTTCGCCTGCGGCTTATTGGGCAAATTAGTTTTGCCTGATTGCAAATTGTACATGGTAGCTACTACCCCACCCCCTCTTTCTCCCCATCAATTTCCTGCCATATATATACGAGGTATAGGTTATGGCTTCGTGCCGACATTTTAAACCCGGCCCACATTCACTCAACCACCCTGCTGATTTATGTTTATGGGCTTGGCAAATATTTGCGCCACTTCAAAAGCATTATGATGATTATTAGCATTGTTTGCCATCGTAGTAAAACTGTCATACGTGTCTGGCTGACTGTTGCCCAACATTTGCAGTCGAACAATATAGAAAAAAGAGAGCATCGCCGAGTGGAGCTCAGAACTCCAACTGTAGCTATAAATGTTGCTGTAACGGACAAACGTGAAACGTGACCGACGTGATGTTTATGCGAAAACATTCCCCTATCATTTGAATAAGTGCGATTGCGATTGTGCCAGTGTAAGTGTGACTGTGAGCAGCGGCATTAGCATCCGACATCGGGATATATTCCACATCTTCGGAGGCATGCACATCATCAGCGAATTCCGCCTGCCCCAAAAACTCGAATCGACTAATCGCCTGAGTGTGGCGTAACTTTCGGGGAGACATCCCGTTTAAAATGGGGCCAAATCGAAGGCATCGTCTGTCATGGCCTGTTGAAAGGATCCAGAAACACTTGGGAATTTGGTTGCACAGAGGAAAATGTCTCATAAATTTATCTACCACACACAAACCTATTTACCAAGTTGAGTTTTATACCTATTATAAGTTATTTTGTGAAAAAGTTCTTGAATTGAGGAGCTTGCAGGCTTAATTATTTTTTTTATTTTTCACAAGTTTAAAAACCCACTGATTTGGGTAAGAATTTTTTCTAGTGACTTTATGTATATCACAGGCAACGCCAGCTTTGTGAGCCAAAAGTCGAGAAGATGACTCTCTGACAATGCCAGACTCCAGCTTGGGCCGCAAGTAAAAGTGGCTGGAAAAGTTTGTGCCCCCCGAAGAACAGCTCTCGAGGAACTTGTCGCCCATACGGCTGCACCTACAAGGACAACGAAAATGACAAGGACAACGAGACGAGGCAAGACAGCAGGAATCGCACCCATGCCGCCGCCTCTTTTCAGTGTAAATATTTAAACAATAATAAAATGGCGGAAAAACGTGGGGAAAACTCTTATGTTGCCAGCGCGGCAAAGTGAGGCAAACTTTTGTTATCTTTTCACCATGAAAATAGCACGAAATTGAACAGGAACTGGAAAACGCTGGCGGATCCAGACGGACGCAGGTGAGAGTTGGTTGGGTTGGGTTGGCAGCTGGGAGTTGGGTGTTTGGAGTTCGAAGGGTGACAGGCGGCATGGGAAACTCCACATCCACATCCACAGGCTTCGACAGACAGTCGGGCTGAAAGCATTGCACGTGCACTAATCATCACGGATGGCGGGCTCCCGGGGACTTTGGCTGGTGTATCGCCTTTCATGTTTTCAATTAGCGTTAATGTCAGTGCAGCGCCCGACGTTTCGGATCGGGCAACTGAAAACTATCCGCCTTGGCCAATGTTTGCGTTTTGGCAACGAACCCAACCCAACCAAAATAAAGGCTTGTTAGTGGAAGACCAGACAAAGGGATATCATATCGTCAGTCCTGAATTTTGTACCCAATCAGCACTGGAGTTTTGAGTTTATAAAAAGGTTTCAAAAGCAACAGACAGCCATTAAAAGTTAGTCTATTTAAAGGGGTATTCAAGAGGCGCAATATTGTTCTGAAAAAAAAACTGTTATCGTAGATCTGCATTAACAGAATCTGCCTTTCAAAGAAAAAATGTAGTTATGCAAAATGCTGTTTGTGATGTGGGAAATGGCATCGTTGAAAACTTTCGACTGCCGTTCAAGTTACCGCAACTCGGAATTAATTTCCGACAGGTTCAATCCATCATTTGTGTGCCCACAAAGCCAACTTCTTTATTCATACCGTAAACTGCTCTATAAATATTATCAGGGAACGTCTTGCCTTTACCCCGAAAATGTCATTTGCATAACCGTCAATCATACGCCACGTATGGTGGCTCTTGGTGTTCCACCTTGTTTGTTTCTGCTCCACTGGATGTGCACACACAAACACACACTCACACACACACACGATGCACAACCAAACCGAAGGAACCCTAACCCGCCATATGTTCGATGGCATTGGAAACTCTGCTCCTCGATTTGCGTTTGCGTTTTATTTCGAAATTGAATTTCAGCACTGATTATATTTTTCCTTCGTTGCGGGGCCCACATTGAATGTGGAGAAAATATGGGATGTTGTCGGGGGTCCTGCGGATCCTGGGGATCCTGAGGGTGCATTGATTGGGGACGAGGTCCCCCGTTGTTTGCGCTCTCCGGTTGCCGGGGGTGCATAAATAAGCGCCACTCAATTATGCAGACTGAGGGCGAAGCAGCTATAATCCTTTATCCTTCTACCTGCGACGTGTCGATTTGATTTGCTTTGCAATTTATTTTTGAATTGCGCTGACAAGGACACACACGTCGTGCAATCGGTATTTATATAATGTTTTCTTTGACAAAACGCTTTATAAGCTTTACGTCGTGGGGTGGCGATAAAACCTCTCACCGACCCTTTTGGCAACAAATTTTCAACATATTTACCTTCGCACTTCAGCAGCTTGTCTTTAATTTCAAAAGCATCTTTATTGCAGATATTTCATTCGCTGTAAATTGAGCTCGCAATTAGGTGCTTAATAGGAAATTGGGTTTTTTGCTTTGGTTTTTCAGCGTCGTCATTAGCAGGAATTTAAAACCCTTTTTTGCGCCCGATGGAAAAAGTTTGGGTCAATGCAAATATTTCATTTGAAGTGACACAACGTTGGAAATTTGTCTGAATTCTTCACCGACTGGGGGTATTTAAATGTGGCCCATTACATTTTATATTGCCATTTGCCTTTGAGGTTTGTGTGTAACATTTAATTGCGAATTTCTGTTGAAAAAGTTCCACTTCACCCTATGTTTTTCCCTTTCCCCGCTTGAATTTCTTGCTTCATTTCGTTTCGGTTTACTTTTCTCGCTTGTACGGCTTCAAATGTTCAACTCATTAAAAAGTGAAACAAAAATTGGTTGAATGGCAGAAGGAAGGTTAGTCTATTTGCTTGACGCTGCATCAATTAACCAGCAATTGGCCTCAGATGCGAAAAATATGCAAAGGGACAGTTGCGTGTAGTGCGGCGTGCTCCCAATGGTTTTATAAATATTTAATGACTTAACCACAAAAATTGATTGACATTTGATTTAACTGTTTGACGTGCTCGACCGTTGACATTGCGACAGGCCAATTATATGTATTAATTACATTTTCACTCTTGTCCGTTCACTGCTGAAATTAATTTAAATTAAGCCGAGGGGGGAATCGAGAAAAAAGGTGACTTGAAGTGTAATTAAAAAACTTCGTGAAAATCATTTTAAAAATGAGAGAAAAACGTTTCTGGCGTTCGTTAGTTGCATAAAAAATGCTGGCCACTGAGTATGATGATCGCATTGATGACCATGGAATTCGGAAAACAAAAGAAAAATGGCCTTCGCCACTCGAGCTGATGGAAAATGTCAGCAACAGTTGGAACCGCTAGTCGAAAATGAAAATATAAACGCTTTCACTGCCTTAACTGCGAATCAAATTAAAACTGCAAAAGTGCATTGTGCAAGTGGGCCGGATCCCTCCTACACCTGTATGTATATGTATATGCTTATGGAATAATGTGTATATAGGGGGAGCATTGTGCTTCTGCTGCCATGATTTCAATTAAGTTGGCAATTGTTGGCCAAGTAAGCAGGCTGGCAGGCTGGCAGGCTGGCAGGCTGGCAGGCCGGCCAGCGAGTCAGCGAGTCAGCAGATGATCGGATGAGCGGCATGCTCCTCATATCGGGAATCAGCATATTTGCTGGACGTGGCTTTAACCGCCTGGCCGCACATAATTAGTGTCATTGGCAGCGATGCCGGCGAGGAGTGTTGGCCAGCAAATACAGCCGGCGAAAGGTAATTTGGAGGTCCATGGCGAAGACAATTGCACTTTTGATAAATTGCGGCCTGGCAGCAACAGCTGCTGATCTTATTACCGATGTCGTTAATGAAATATTTCCCAGGCCATTCGCATTTATGTGTGTTTGTGCGCGTGTGTGTGTCGGCGTTAAAGCATTAATATGGTAAATTGCGTATACGCACAGTTAACAGAGAAAGTGTGTCAAGGCTGAAAGCGAATGGTTAACGGGAATGACAAATATAAATTTAAATGTGACAAAAGCATTGGTTTTTCCTTTTATAATTGATTTATAAAATATTAATTTCATTGCCCTATTTATTATTTTGTCTGAAGCATTAAGTTTTAACTTGATAATATAATATGTTTATAACAAAAAATTAACTATTTGAAATAAATTGTGTGTTACGTAAATGCATTTCCTGTAATGTGTTCATCATTATTAAGGCATATAAAGTCGGCTTTATTTATTTTATTTTAATTTATTCGTTTTATTTGACTTGCAACTAAAAATATTGAATTAGCAGAGTGTTATTGGTTTGTCGACAACTCGGGCAGCAACTTTCGTCTGTGGTTTGAGGTTCGCCCTTTTACCCGGAAAACTTCTTACCTATTGCTCTCTTTTCCATCCGTTTTCCTCTCCGCTTTCCGGATTTTTTCTCAATTTTTTCGCCATTGGCAATAAATCGAAGCGGTCGTTCACTTTGAATTCGGGCCACTGGGTGGCTGGGTTGGTTAACCCAAATGGCAACAAATTAGAGCCCGAGCTCGGCGTTGTTCTAATTCTTTGCCTCGCTGCCGGTTGAAAAATCGAAATCACTCTCGCTCCCGCCCACAGGAGGCGTGGCCATGCTGGGGGCGTTCAAGGATGCTGAAGCGGCGGCGACTGAGGGAGAGGGGTTTGAGGCGGTTACTGGATTTGCGGCCGGGGTCGGTTTCGCGCTTGAGCTATCATCCGTTTCGCTGCTGTCAACGAAATTAACGCGTTTCTTCTTCTTCAGCTGCTGCTGCTGCGCATCATTAGGCGCCGCTTGTTTGTCTGTCGTCGAAAGTATCGATGTGGGTTTGAGCAGGGGCTTACTGGCTGCCGCCGGAGGTTCCGGTGGAGCAGCTGCTGGGCTCGCCTCCACTTCCGGTGTCTCCGTTTCACCCACTGGATACGCTTCCTGCTGCTGCTGCTGCTGCTGCACCAGCGGTTCCTGTCCCGATAACTCCTCCGTTTGCTGATCCGGTTGCTGTTGCTGCTGCTGCTGTTGCTCGTAGGCACTGTAGTCGTAACTCTGCGCAGCACCGGCATCGTAATCCTGACCGGCGTAACTGCCATCCGGCGCATATTGAGCGGCATTCGGATCGGCAATGTACTGACCGGTCGCCTCATCGTATATGTAGCCAGGATAGGCGTTGGGATCATAGCCATCCGCATACTGACCGGCCTCGTAGTTGCCGTAATCAATATTGGAGTACTCCTGCGGCAGGACCTCGCCACCGCTGGCATCTCCCAGAGAAGCGGCGCCAGCCACATCGCCGGCAACTGCGGCAGGTGCATCGCCATTCGCCCCCGGATCCGCTGTTGCATACTGCTGTTGCTGATAGTCTGTGGGATTTCCGATTTCGCTGTAAAGCGGCTCCGCTTTTCCATTCGCCGGCAATTGGCTCGCGGAATCGATGCTGGCATAGATGGGCTCGCTGGCATCGCCGTAACTGCTGGCATCATATTGCCCGTAACTGGAGACCTCCGTTCCAGGTTCCACCTGCTGTTGCATTTGCTGTTGGTGTTGTGGCTCCACCTCCTGGAGTTCATCGGTTAGCAAATTTTCGAAAAATCCCTGCGTTGGTTTGCCCGTTTCGCCGGCTGTCGCTGTTGCTCCTCCGCCTGTCAAACGTTCGCCGTAAATGGCATTTTCAATATTCTCAATCGACACACCGGTTTTGGGTTGGCTTCCTGTTCCACCTCCTGGTTCTCGTTCCCCCTCCTTCAACTGGCTGCTCGGTGGCGACAATTGATTACCCCTTGCCAGCTGCTCATCAACCGCAGCCGCTGCTCGTTCGAGGGCCGCCCGGCTGGCTTTGACTTCGTCCAGCAAATCGTTGCTGATGCCAACTTTGCCACTCACCGCCGATCCAGAATCGCTGGAACGCACGTTTACGGGGCGTTTGTCTTCCTGCCAGGACTCATCGATTTTCAGCTCGCCAAAGTACGCTTCAAAGTCGTGCGGCTTCTGATGTTGCTGCTGCCGCTGTTGGTGTTGCTGCTGCTGCTGCTGCTGTTGGTGTTGCTGCTGCTGTAGCTCTTGATGTTGCTGCTGGCGTATCTGCTGCTCCATGGGCTGATGTCCCCAGTTTGGCTCATTATGGCCAACGACAGTTGGTGATTTTTCATACTCGACTTTAGTCACGCGTGAATTTGTCCAGGCATCCAGGTCGTCGGTGGCTGCCTCCCTTTGCGGTTGCCCGCCCACATCCTGGCCAGAAGTTGTTCCCACTTCTCGTTCCCCTGCTCCTGATCCTGCGGGCGGCAGCTCAGTTAACGTCAGCGAAGGCGACGACGTCTTTGGCAATTTATCAAACGTCAACGAGGATGTGGCCAGTGTCGAGGAAGTGCTGCTCAGTTGCCGCGCACCCTTCTCCTGGCTGGATATCGTCGACGTGGGTGTCGCAGGACCTGCTGTTCCCACTCCTGGTGCTGCTGCTGCTGGGGGAATCCTACTACCCAGCTCCGCCTGATAATCACCTGTCAAATGGGGATGCATGCGCTCCGGTAAATCGGCATTCTCATTATCAAGAGCGCGCAGAGTGGCGCGCAAATCGAAGAGGTTCGAGGTGCCGAGGGGAGTTGCAGTGCCTCCAAAGAGCTCGGGATAGTAAACAGGATTGGGATTCAGATTGGGATTGGAGGCTGCACCTGCTGCAGAACCTGCTGCCGTGGCAAACTGGGGCGTCAACAGCATCCCCGCCTGCGTGGGCGTGGCCATGGCAAAGGTCCAGTTCTGCGGCGTCATCGGCTGCGGATTGGTCACCGTCACCTGCGGCTGCGGTTGCACCAGCACCGGAATCACTCCGCCGCCGCTCGGCGGCACTGCACTCGTCGTCGTCGCCGTCGTCTGCTGGATGCATCGCAGCGTTTGATTCTGCACCAAATTCGCAAAGTACATTTGGTACTGCAGCTGTCAGCAGATGGAAGAGAAATGTGGTAAAAGTGGTTTAAGGGTGACTCACTCGGGAAAAAATCAACATAATAAGTGAAAGAGCGACAAGGGAGCGAGCCGCTTGGAACTATAAAACTTTTTTTTAAAGAAAGTACGAGCATATTGAAGTAATTTTATGCTCTTAAAAAACAAGGTCCTTTATCGACTTCTCTGAGTTATTTATATTTAAAGTTTCTCAGAAATATATACTCCAATATTTTTAAAGTGTGATTGCCTTAACATTTGCCTTGGGCAACCGGTGAACTTACCTTCATCATTTTAAGACGCTCGCTTCTTTGCGACAAGGCAGCGGTTTGCTCGTCGATTTTTTCCAGCATTTTCACCAACTTCTTGTTGCGCTCGTTGCGTTTGGCTTGCTCCTCGAGGAATTCCTGGTACTTTTGGCGGCTCTTGTGGCGCACCGACTTGTCCCTGCAGCACAAATACCGTTCATCTTTTGTGGCCAATGAGGGAAAATGACAAAAGCTACTTACAGCTCGCTGCGCTTCTGCAGGACTTTATCCAACTTGTGCTCCAGCTGCTGGCGGTTATCCTCGCTGCGCAAAGAAAATCGAGGAGAGGGTCAAAGAGCATAAATATGATTGGTAAGCTGCTGCATATGCACATGGAAAGATCAAGGAAAAGCTGACGAACACAAATCAATGGCCATGGCCTTTGCGCGATTTACTGCTCGCTGCAGGACATTTTCAATGATTCGCAAAAGAGCATCACAGAAAGCTTTCAAAGCATAAATGCATATGCGTGTATTTAATGTTTATGTTATACTTGTTTTTACTGTATCAAAATAAGGTTAAAAATGTGCTTAAACAGCAACAAAAGCTTTTAATAATATGGCTGCTAAATTAATTATTGTTTTGATTGTTTATTGGTTTATCTTCTAAAATTTTAACAACTTTGTGCTGTGTAAATATACACCGTTGTATAATGAATGAATTATTAAAGAGCTTACTGAATATTTAACTTCATTAGTTTTATGTTGGCAATTTAGCAATAAAAGTAGAACGTTGTTTAGAGACTTTATTACAAAATAATAATTTGTTTGTGGCATTGCCATGAGTTTAAAGGTATTACAACCTTTAACCAAGGAGAAACTTTCTTGTAATAATTTAATATTAGTTTGGGTAATCTTATTACGAGCTTACCTGCGCTGCAGCTTCTCCTGCAGGAGCTCCACCTGCAGCTTGTAGTTCTCCAACTCCGCTTGGGGGAACATGGCTTTAACGGGGAAATATCCTTCCGTTCCACTTCGAACTGCACCACTTGACGGTTCTGGCTGAACTGGCCATATGCAATACTACCCGCTATTGACACAGTTTGCTTGCCGAGGGGGGATATTAATGCGACAGTGTGTTCTATTTTAAGGCAACTTTATTCGAATAGCCGCATTAAATTCGTGTTCGTATGGGTGATTGGCATTTGTTTGTTGAGTCGCGTTGTCATGGCTGCTCGGTTTCTTGGTGGTTCCTTTGCGTATTTATTTTGGTGGTTGCTTGGCATTGGCCAGGGACATTTGGCTCCTTATCGATTTCCCTCGTCGACTCGTTGAATCCTCGGCACGACTCGTCGTTGGCTTTCCCAACGTGCCACGCATTGAGGAGAGGCAACTAACTTTCGATTTTTCGCCCCATGAATTTTACATTCCTCTATCGTTGTTGTTCTTGTTGTTTTTCTTGTCCGGCCTGTGGTACACTAATTACACGCCCTGCAAGTAGGTCACTTCTTTCCGAACTCCGTTCAGTTTTCCGTTCTTGGCTTGGCTTCGTCGTCGGGCCGAAAAAAACGTGGAGAGTCGTCTGGGGTCACCGGACCCACCGAACCCTCCGAACGGTCGAACCATTTATAATGCATTGCACGGGATTTGCCTGCACGAGTGGGCCCAGCTTCTTCCATTCCTGTTCTGATGAGTGTAAACACATGTTGTTGTCGCACACTCGCACACCCCGTCGTGCACTGAGGGAAAATGTGGGTAAGATGTAAGGGTTTTGTGTAAAACGTAATAAAGATAATAATTGAAAATGTTCTTTTAAATATAAATACCATCTATATATTTGTAACTCAAACGTGGGTATGCACACAAAAATTAAAAAAAATTATGTTATACTAAACGTGCTTCTTATATCACGGCTTAAAAAAATATTGTTTGGAGCTTAGTTCATTTATATTTAATTTAAAGAAGAAACAATTCTTGAATATTATAAATTTATTAAAAATTAAAATTGGTAACAATGGTTTTCTCGTTCAAGTGCACGAGTTGTGTAAGTTACTGTTTGTAGGAAGTAAATACTTATTTTTCATTTGAAAAGTTTTTGTTTCAGTGCAGACCCTAACCCTTGTGCGCGGCCAGCCGTGCGGCACCTGAATGTGAATTAATGGCAGTGGCGTCTATCACTCCCCCGGCCGCAGACAACAGCAGAGGACCCTCTCGCACACGCTGACATATTCATACGCTCACCACACGGACAGCAACGGTATCCTGTATGTCCTGTATGTCCTGTGTGTGCTGCATGTCCTGGCTGTCCTGCCAGTCGAGGCTGCCATCATCAGCGTTCCCAGCGCCAGTAGTGACCACTCCCGTGCTCCTGATCCTGTTCCTGCCACCGAAGCCGCAGCAACTCCGTGTCCTGCTTGACTTGCTCCTGGCGCTGGATTTGGCATTGGCTTCGCTTCGCTCTTCCTGGCGCGGCTTCTCCGTGTGCCACATGTATAGTATATGCCACCGTTGTCACGGTGTCGTGGTTGCGGGCCGCAATATAAAATTTTTGGTTATTTACATGTGAGGGGATAACAAACGGCCGGAGGAGGGGCAGACTGTCATAAGTGCGGCAGGTTATCTCCGCGGTTCCTCGTTTCAGGGCACAGAATGTTGATGGGTCAGTGTGCAGAGAGCATGTGTGAATGGTTCAGGGGCTCTGTTTTCAAGGGGCTTACTTCTTTAGCTAACATTTTGTAACATTAAAGATACTCCCAACTAAAGATATTTCAAACTAAAGATACCCTCAACTAACTAAATAAATATTTTATTTGGTGTTACATTATATTTATTGTTGGCATTGGTCAAACCCCAAAAGATCGGCCATCCTGACCTATGAGTGAGGGTTAAAACGAACTTGTTGCCAGGCGACCAGGACCACGGACAATTTCTTGTCGCAACCAGTTCAGTTACGGAAATTCGAGAAATTCTATAAGCGTTGGCTAAAAATAGTAAACGTGCATTTTTGAACGAAAATGTGAAGGTATTATGTTGAACATGCTTCAGTTTTTGTTGCGGCTTTTCGGACAGCTAAATAATATAGTCGTCCGATTTTTATAAAATTTAATTAAATTATTTATTTATGTATAATCAATGAAAAAAAAATTGCTATGCCATTTAAAAATAAGAAAAGTTATGGTCTTTGAAATAGAGAATTTGTGTAAATTTTAGACAACTGCAACATAGCCGAAAGCCTGATGAACTTGAAGTCCTGTCTTTTCAATATTTACATATTTATTATTTGGGCAGAGCAATTTGTGACAAGGCCTTGAAGTTATTATTAGCAGCACAACTTGGCATGTCCTGGCACCCAAGCAATATCCTCGATTGGGTTTTGGCTGAGTACGCTCAAGAACATCCGTGGAAAGTTTGTCATAATCGAATATTTGCATTGAAAAGTGCGGTAGGGGAGAACCTAAATGGAAATTGAACATTTTTTTGCTGGAAAATTTCCTTGCGGCGAGCGGCGGCGATTTATGTGTTTGACTTAACGTTGCAGTTTGCCAGACTGTGAATGTGTGTGAGTGTGTGTGTGTGTGGTGCTTATCAGGCGCTGCACAGCGCACTTTTTGAGGCACTTAATTTTGGCTGGCATCCTTAACGGTCGGCAAATTCTGGGTTGGGGGAATATCGCGACCCGAGAGCTTCTTTTGCCGATTTGCAGTCAATGAAGTAGAAAACTGAAAACTTTTTCTTTCGAGTCTATTAAAAATAATGGCAGCTGAAAGCAGGAGCCCCCGCCAAGTGCGAAATGCTCCCCATGTGTGCCCTTGCCTCCCCTCCCCCTCCCCCTCCTCCGTCTCTCTGTCTCTTTCTGCCGCCGCCTCGCTGTCTCTTTCCCTATGGCTATCGTGCTGCGCGTGTGTGTGTGCGTGAGACATCGGCGGGCATTAAATTAATGTCCGCCCAGCCATTTCTCACTGGGTCCTCGGTCGCAGACACTGCCGCCCGGTGCATTGACCACTTTGGGCGGTTTGCCTTTAAAGCACTCTATTACCCTCGCTAAAGATCAGGGCTATTTGGCCTTTTATTTTACCCACTGTGCAAAGGGTTTTATTAGGCGTTTTAACTTGATTGGAATTCATTATATAAATATTAGAGAGGGGCTTAAAAGTCCGAAATAAATTCTCTATATTTATTTTGTCCATTACATCAGTCTGTATTCTTCGTATAATCTCATCAGATCACCCAGATTTCTTCATAATTTATTTATGAATTAAAAAAAAAAATTTAAAAAATATATTATAAATAATTATTTTATGATAATTATAGAACAAATTCCGAGGGTAGCCAATAAGCCCAACAGTTTCTTGCAAGTCAAGAAAGAGGTCCATGTACTTATTGTATTTTTCAGCCCTGTCGCTGCGGGCATGCTGGGAAAATGGCCGAGAATGGAGTCGGAGTGCAAACGCCGTGCAGGTTTTGCGGTTAATGCGATAATTTAATTGTAATGCGGGTCTGGAGTCTCGCGCGCCAATAATTTAACTTGCAATCAGCGCGGCATTTATTGGGTTAAACATATAAGCCGGCGCGGAGGGCGAAGACGCATACTTGCATGCCCAAGGAGTGAATGAACCCCAAGGATACACGGCCACAGATACAAATACAGATACGGATGCCCAGCGAAAGGGAATGGGAGCAAAAATGAAAAGGAGCTGGAGCTGGAGAAAGGGGATGGCAAATAAATTCAACGATTTCTGTGCAATAAGGGAGACACAGTCGGTTGGGCATATTCGCACGTAAGCCACGAGGACGATGACAGCAATGAAATATGCAAGCTGGGTCCTGAACCCGAGCATTTTTCCAAAGGCGTTCATGAGTCACGAGCAAGGAGTCGAAATCGGAAGAAGGAGGATGAGCAGAAAATCCGAGTTTATACCGAAAGCCAAACATTTATAAACTCCACATCCTAGCAACAGTTGCTGGGCGACCTTCAGCGATTGGCTTTTAGTGACTCTGGGTAAGACATTTTGGCATTAGTCGCAATGTCGGAAGGACCCACTTTGGAGCAGTTGCAGGAGCTGCGACGCATCCTCCTGCTGACCGTTTACCGAAACACATTGAATCAGCTGATCCTGCAGCAGCGTTCACAGCGTTTGAATGCCAGAAAGCCGCTTTCGCTGCCCGCTTCCCTTCGCCGCCGACGGAGTTCGTCGATGGGGGAACAGGAGAAACCCGAACGAATCCTCATTACCGGCAAGGTCCTTCCCCGCTTGGAGTCCCTCCTGGGCGAACCCGAGAACGATGCTGATCTGCTGGACGAGGATGTTCTCGATGCGCTGAAATTCGAAAGAGATATGGATGCCCTGCGAACGATTTTCGAGGTGGCCATGAATGATCCGGATTTAGCGGAGAAAAATACCACTAAGGATGAGGACTTGAAAACTTTGGAGCAACAGAGGGAAGAGGATATTCCTGAAGAGCAAGATAAGCCGATTGAAGGTCCAGAAATTATTACGCAAGATAATGATTTTCTGAAAATAATGAATCTGCAAATTAAAGAAGAACAAAGTGTATTTGAAGAGAATAATTTTCCAGATGAAGATATGAAAACCCAAGAAATCAAAGATGACAATGTTTTCCAAGAGGATGAGGGTCTGGAAAACCTCAAGCAGGCCATTGCTGCCCTGGCTGGGAACAAAAGCGAGGAGTCACAGGCTGCCAGGCAGCTGCAGGAGTCCAAGGACGAACTAAAGAAACTGAAAGAAGATCTGGAGAACGAAAAGCGGAATACCAAAGAGAAGTTGCAGGATCTGGAGGAACGGATTGCCGACACCAAGTACAAGTTGCGCTGTGTGTCGCGGGTCAATGACCTCGAGTACAGCTTGGTGCAACGCTGGGAGGAAGGTCGCTTGGCCCAAGGAACCATTTGGGGTGAGAATGCAGAGCGGGCCTACTTGAGGGACATTTTGGACATCAAACAAAAGCTGGCGCGCGAGGAGCGAGTAAGTGCTGAGCTTCGATCCTTTCGCCAGCGGGAAATCCTGGAGCTGAAGCAAAAAATTAAGGAGTGGCAGGAGCGTTATGTCAGCGAAATGAAGAGAGTAGATCGGGAAGCCGAGTCCTGGGAACTGCGCATCCTTGAGCAAAAGAAACTACTGCAGCGTCACCGCGAAATTTACGAGGAGCGGATGATCTACGTCCAGGAGTACCGCGCCCAAAAGGAGGAGGAGCAGCGGCTCCTGGACCTCCAGATGCACCGCATCCAGTGCGCCGTTAGGTTGCAAGCTTGGTGGCGCGGTACGATGGTGCGTCGCGGTCTGGGACCGTTTAAGAAGAAACCAAAACGCGGCAAGCGTGGCAAGCCAAAGAAGTAGTGCACTTAACAAAAGTACTTCACTTACTTATCATCATTTGGAAAATATTTTATTTTATTATAAATTTAACTAAAAAACTTCATAAAAACTAAATTACTAATATCCCAAAAAATTGAAAAGTTTTGTGGCAAGAAGAATTCTAAATACTCTTATATAATTTAAGTACGATACTATATACAATGCTAATAGAGTTTATAATTTTTGAAAACATTGCATTAAAAATGTTATAAAATAAAAACAAGATATGGATAAGATATAAAATATAGATATAATTCTCTATATTTTTCCTGCATACGCTTTTGTAAAGTTATTTTTTCTGTGCACTTTTGTCGCTGGGGGTTTTCAGCGCTTTCCCTTGCTTTATGGAAATTAACTTGTGACTTAAAACCAATTAAAAGTTGGACGCGCTGCAGTTAACACGTCAGCGGTCGGCTACTGACGTCGCCCTTAATGACATGCTGCCAGAGAGTCAACAGGCCCGGCTCGAGAACTGTTTACGCCGGGCGATAATAATGGCCAGTGGACCTGTCCGGGAGTGGACGAAGGGGGAGTACCGTACTGCACAGTACTGACCCGTTCAAAAGGCAGAAGTCGGGAGTTGCATCTGGAGTTCCATTGTTTTTCCGTTTTTTATTTTTGTTCACTGCTCTCTCTTCTTCTCCGCATTTATTTATCTTTTATGCCAGGGAATGGCCAAAAGTGGTTTATTTGTTGTGCCACATTCATCGGCAACACAAACGGGCGGGCGGCCGGCCTAAGGGGGCGTGGCAGCAGCGGCGTGCAGAGGCGGCGTGCATTTTGTTTTCGATGCGTGCGGAGGAGATAAACTGCGACAATTTGCCCGGTGAATGAGTGGAACTTTTTCACTGTCGACGCAAGGGGCGCCAAACAAAAGCAAAACTTTCCCTCGAGTGCGCCAGTGTGGACATTGCAATTTAAAATATAATTAATGGTCGTTGCCGTAATTTATTGAATTTGCATAGCACAAGGCTGCATCGCTGTCATTTCTTGTTTGCCGTTTGCCAGTTTTGCCGGTCCGCCAGTCGAGAGTTTCGCCGCAGTCCTGTTTTGCGAGTGTCCTTGCGAGGCGAGAGTCTGCACATGCACTCACTTTTGTTTTAATGCACTCCGAGCGGTTCCTCGCAATTGTTGCAGACCGATGGGGCAACAATAACATCCCGATAATGACTGGCGAAAGTCCATTTGCGGCGAAAAAAAACCCAGTTGCCACTTGGATGCGAATTGGGTGAGCGAAAAAAATGGTTACCAAAAATGTTTCGCAAAAGCTTGCCAGAAAGGAATTAAAAAAGATTTTCAGTATGGGTACTTATATTTCAGAGAAGCACAATGTTTGAATTTAAAAATAATTGAACTGATTTAAGTATTCTTCTTTTTCTATTTAAAAACTCGATTTTTTGTGTTTTTAAATGAAACTTCTCAGCAGTAAAGATAGATGAAAAGTACGAAATTGGAAAGAGAGTCAAATGATACTTTTTTTTTGGCACTAGCCACCAAATGTGGCCACTAGCCAACATAGCTTCGCAGGCCTATTGTTTGGAATGGCGGCGGATGAATTAATGGAAGATGGGGCTCTGCTGCGTGGCGAGAAAATGGGGACGAGAATGGGGGCAGCATGGCAAACAATCCTCCTTGCTTTCCACGCCTTTTTTCGCTTCATTTTCCCGGCTATCTCTGGGCATCGCGGCTCTTGCTCGTTCTGGCCCGTTCCGAGCAACTCATTCTCGCTTCCTGCACTTTGCATGCCCCACACTATTTGCAACTTGAAGAAAGCGGCGAGCGCGCCATAATGGCCACTGCCTCCCCCGTCGACCATTTCCCTCAGCAACTCCCCGACTTCCGTGTCATGTGCGTTACTTAAAACATACAAAATGGCGTAGAGTTCGCCTTGCCTTTAAAGGGAAAGCGCCACACTGCAGCAGTCCCCGTGGGCCGGGAAAAAAGGGCCAACTGAGGCACCCGAAAAATTTACATACAAATTAGGGTTAATGAGCAGTGAAATTGTTATTTAACTTCAGTTGGCCCGTTAAGCGCTTTAAAGTGCGGCAGCAATTCAGTTGAAATCGTCTTCGAATATCTGCGTACTTTGCGACACGTTTTTGAAATTCTCTTTAGACCCGCTTAAATGGGTTAACCTTTCGGCCATTTCCCATCCCCGCAGAACAACAGAATTTAATTAATAATCTTGCGCATAATTCATAAATTGAATATTGCGCATACGCCACGTGCGCTTAAATTAATTTTTATTCATATTTTTTATGTATTCATTTTGCAGCTTTTACTGCTGCAGCATAAGCAGCACGGCAGCTTGACGAGAGTAAGAGTTATGTTTAAAATTTAATCAAACACTTTAATTTGATTAACAGCGCACGTCTTTCAATATAAATTTATGGCCGTCGGACGCATAATCAGAGAGCAGAGCCATCAGTAGAACCGGAGCCGGAATGCCGGACTGCCGAAGTGTTGGAGTGCCGGAGAGCTCCGCTGGCCAGCCGTAAAAAAGGGTTGACCACCCGCACATTCGTTCACCCGATCTCGACTCCCGTCTGGGCTTTCAACACATCAACGCCGTCATTTGATATGCGTGCCCCTGAAGGGGGAGTTTCTGAAGGGGGTTGCAGGGGGGAGTGGAGACTAATAGCAGCACGTACGTTTGATAAAATATTTTATTGGCATGTATGGGTGGCGTCCTGACAGGCCCAGCGATTTTATAGATTTTTCTAATGCTCTGTCGAAAGGGTTCAGTAAAAAAAAAGTCCCCTCCTTCACTTCTATGAGTATTTTGAAGTGGAAACCCGAGTAGGATATACTCTTTATTAAAAGAAAATCCCGCTAAGAAGTTCGCAAACTTATTTCATTTGGGAGTACACTGAAAATACAGTAAAATCTATCTTATTTCTTATTGGTAACAAAACTCCTTGGAACTATTTTTTTTTAGGATATTTTTGAATTTTAGCTTTAAACGTTTTAAATCTTAAAATACAGAAATGAATGATTTCATGAAAACCACTGTAGACAACTTAATACAACAAATTTGCAGCTATGAAACTTCTTCTTTATGTTTACCACTCAACTTCTTATCTTTCATTGATTGTTTTCCCCATGCATTTCTCATGAAATTAGTGCACTGCCTGAAAAGCAATTTGGCCACACAAATCATTTCAACTTAATATACAACTTCAGCTGTGGAGCCCAACAAACGAGGATGGCATTTTTATTGGCCTACGTGTCTTTTGTGCCATGGCTGTTGCCACAACACTATCTCGTCATGCGAATCTGGAATAAATCTTTCATTTCATTTCTGGTGCACGGAAGTCACGGCCACCGGTCAGCAAGTTTTGGCTTCAAAATGCCATGATAAATGCCAAACAATGCGAAACGCTGCCTTCCTTGAGCGGCATAACCGATTTTTGCCCCGAATTCCGTCAAATCTCATCTTGCCGTTGGCATAAATCCACAATTAGTTCGGGTCATGAAAAGTGGGTTATTTATGCATATTCGAGGAAATCGCCGTTCAATGAACCTGTCCACATCAACGCACGACCCACTAAATTAAATTCTTTGTTTTGGCAGCAGCAGCCGGCAGCTTCAAAATTCAGAAACCAGCAGAACGGGGAAAAATAACTTCGAAAAAGCAGAGCAAAAGTTTTTAGCAAACGGCAATTCTCGGTTATTTTATTTGTTTGCCTGCTTATATTGCCGTTGTTGCCGGGGTGCCCGTTCGGAATTTTAAATATGGCGTCTGTTTTGTTTGAAAACGGAAACGAGTGTCTGTCAGTTTATTTGTTTGTTGTTGATGATGTCGATGTTGTTGTTGTCTCCGTTTTGTCGGCCGTCGCAGTCCCAAAAATGAAGTCAACCAACTTTGGCAAAGGAAACGCCGCCTAATGTGTTAGTTTGTGAGCGAGTGTATTTTCGGTGTGTTTGTGTAACTCTGTTTGCAATTGAGAGGCCGTCGCCAGCGGCTCCGTTGAAAGGGGATACATATATATATATATATATATTTGGAGATATTCAATTTACCCAAGATGGGCAATGATTTTTTAAGGCTTAAGCAAACCTGAGACTTGCACAGAGGGAAAACAAATAGGTCGGACCCTTTTAAAGTGTGTGGGCACAGGAATAAAACCGGGTTGTCCAAATAAATCATGAATTCATATTGAAATAAATTACTTTTGATATACACTAAATATGTGGTACACACGGTTATATTTTTGTTAACTTACATTTTTCGTTAAAGTTTCATGTATTTGTGTTTCTTATTTTCCATCCTGCTTTTAAAAATAGTACTTCCCCCTTTTCGTAAAGTTAAGTACACAACATCTCTGAACTTCAGGCTGAAATATCAACACACACAACTGCTTCTGCACACACACACGCAGCCATACAAATGACACAATTTTCCTTTGGGCTAATAAAGTTGACTTTACATTTTTAATAGTCTACTTTTCGGCGCATTAGTTTTAATGCTTATGACGATGCTGTTTTGCATGCAAAATGCACGGGGTGAAAAGCCAGAGCCTTCTGGAAATTTTTGGCCAGCTTTCGGGTGCCATTAGATCTGGTTTCCTGCCCTCAGGACTCCACAGTACCTGACTTGGTTGCCAAAACAAGTTTTGTCACTCATTATGCGGAGCACAATAAATATTTGCCTATCATTTTGCTATTTGCTTTCGCCAAACGAAATTGATGAACGTCCCCAACACGACGGCAAATTGAATTGGCCGAGCCATTAACAAAACTGAATTTTGCTTATCGCCATTTGGCAATGCTTTTTTCCCCGGTCCTCGAACACATGACACACACTCATGCGCTACATTTGATATTTATGCAGATTTTGCTGCCTCTGCTGCTGCTGCTTCTGCTGCCTAGTAATGAGTAGCAGATAAACATGGCGATAAATTACTGCATTTTTGGGCATTCATTATTTACCCTGCTCCGCACTCACACACTTACACTATCACACACACACATATACAGAC